ATTTGATAATAGTCGATCCAAACACAGAGGAACATCACTGGGAGGCATCAAGTGCCTGTTTTCAGCCCACTCACCTTAGCATCACAACTCTGGTTTATACCACCTCATCAACTGGACCACAGCTCTTCTCTGGTTTTACCATTTTAACTTATCTGAAAGAAAACCATGTATACATCATATCATGCTGAATGTTAGAAGTATTTATTTTTTTATTTACAAAGCAGCTCTTTCAATTTGTTACTAGTGGAATAGAATCATAGAATCATTAAGGTTGGAAAAGACCTCTAAGATCATCGAGTCCAACCGTCGACCCACCACCACCATGTCCACTAAACCATGTCCCTAAGTGCCTCATCTACTCGTCTTTTAAATACCTCCAGGGATGGGGACTCAACCACTTCCCTGGGCAGCCTGTTCCAATGTTTAACCACTCTTTCAGTAAAGAAATTTTTCCTCACATCCAATCTAAACCTCCCCTGGCGCAACTTGAGGCCATTTCCTCTCATCCCAATAATGTGTATTTAAAATACACAATAATAATAAATAAATGAAGGGGGGGGGGTGACAAGGGCTGCTATTCGCACTCCACTTACTTAAACAGCAAGACAAACCACATGGTAACAATTTCCTTCCTTCCTTTGCAGTCCTTCAAAGGTCTTCCAGTGTTTCACCATCCACTAGAAAAGGCCAATTTTGGCTGCTGGGCACGTGCAGAGGGGATTTCTTCAGTGAAACTCCTTGCACAGAGGCTGTGGGCTCAGCTGCTGCCTGAAACAAGAGTCACACATTAGAAAAGCTGCAAAGCTTTGACCCAATGGCCGCTGCATTTTCTGCACTGATTTAAAGCACTGCGGCCCTTTCTCAGCCTGGCAAGAAAGTCAGGCATTTGATTTTTTTTTTTTTTTTAAATATGTGCATGTACATAAATGCTATATATATACACACAGAGCCACACTTATGTACATATATATTTATTTACATGTATATACATATATGGGTAGATAGACAGATGAAGATAGACATATGCTTGACTAAAAAAGACACTTGGAGTGGCCAATTAAGAGCCAAGCACTTCATTATCCAGTTCAGCAATGGGCTGCAATCCTGTGCGCCTCACAGTCCCAGCTAGTATGTTAAAATGCAACTTCTTCTGTTTCAACCTGCATGACAAATTTAACCCTGCTAAGGGCCAGCAGCAGGTAACCTGCCACCGAGGGCCATTCGGAGACCCATTTCCACCTCAGCAGCTGAAACTGTGGCCAGTGACATTTCAAAGCCCTCATGTCACAATTTTTAGACAGGGAACAAAATGAGGCTGAGGGTGAAGAGACAGCAGGAGAGGGGAAAGCTGCATTTCCAGAGACACAATGGTTCCTGGTGGCAGACAAGAGGTTTCCAGCACTTGCTCTGGGGCGAGGATTCGGGGTGCCAGCCTCCATCGCCTCTGGGGGCATGGGAGATGGCTCGTGCCACTCAGCTGAAGCCTGGGCCAATGGCCCATCATTTCTTCCTGTGGTTTGCCCCATCCCAACATCTTCCTTCCCCTGACCCAGCCTTAGGTACTCAGCTCCTGGTTGAGACACAAGCATTAGGTCAGCTGCTGTGCATTTGTAGTTGAAGTGTATTCAGCACCTACTGAAACTGCCACAGCCCTTTATATATGTATATATAAATATATTTATTATATTTTATATATAAAAATAATATATACTATTATATATAACATATATATATTTATATGTGTATATATACCAAAAATATACAAAAGAGATAAAAGATCTTTTATATACACACACACATATTTTTTCCTGACCTGTACAAAGACATCTGGCATAACCAACTGACCATCCAGTACTGCCCAAACGATCCTGTCACCCACGAATGAGTGCAGCGACATGTCACCAAAACCGAGGCAACTGAAAAACCAGACGCAAATGGTGCGGAGTATGCTCCTGCACGCACAGCAAGTGCGTGCACACCACAGCTATGCTTGTTAGCCTGTTTCTTGGAAGTGAAAGGGTAAGTTACTCTGCAACATATGTTTTTTCATAAGAGAGGAAAGCATTCAAAATTTACAAGACAATTCTATAGTTGTAACAGGAGCTTGTACTGTACGTGCTTCTTACAGTGCCTTTTTACAAGGCTCATGCTATAGAGACCTCACTGTTATCTGCAGAAGACTTTGTCTGGCTGGGCATTTTCTGCACCAAGCTTTGCATTCCTCCCCTTTTGCCCAACCGTCCTTCCCCAACAAAGGCTCTTTTTTCAGGAGAATTAAGGCACAAATCGTTGTATCTGTTCCAAGGGCAGAGTGTGTCGGTCTTATTTTCTCCATGAGGAGCACTGGCATTCATGGGACGCCAACAGCTGGATCTGAGCATTTCCTTTAATTGAACAGGTTTACAGTCTTTCTGTGCTGAAGCAATTCTCCACATCACACAAGCCTTCATACCAGAATAAAATGAAAATTTAAGAGCGCTGGCTAACAAGACCGAGAAGCTCATTGTTTAAACAAGAGGCCAATTGTCTGGGTACTCCAGTGCCCCGTTCCTCCAACGTTAAACCCACACGAGGGACAGCAGCCTAATCCACAGCTTGCCACCAGGTGGTATAGAAATTAATCTTCCACTTACCCGGGCTATTAGTTGCGGTATTCATAAAGGTTTGCAACCCAATGAGGCTAGCGACTGAAGTTTTCTCCTTGTCATGGAGGGTCGTGGCAACATGGCGATATGAAATACCGGCCTTCAGGGGTGTCCCCCATGGTGAGGAAAGTGTGGACGATACGCACTGCAGGGAGACTGGGGGGAACGGCCCCCAGGACCTTCTGGTTCAACACACGCAGCCCCAGGCTGTCTAACTGCACAGCAAATACGTTGGAGGACAGGGGATGGACTGGGAAAGCCCAGGCTCACCAAGGACCTGAGCATAGTCCACCATAACGTGCAGGGCTGAGCAAGTTTGGTGTTTATGAGGAAAGGCACTAAATACTGATTTTTCTCCCCTTTTAGCAACACCAGAACTCCCATTTCTAGTCTGACAGGACCCCTGGGAGTGCTGGACATGCAACACAGGGACCCTCACTAGATCTCCCAAAAGCTCAGGGGCATGCTTCAGATCTGCTTGCATCTTCCTAACGGGGTAATTAGCAGAACAGAGGAGGAAAAGAAATCCAGTACTTTGTTAGACTGCTGCTCTATTAAAGTCCAAGCAGGAAAGGGAAAATACTCAGCAGCAAGCAGGTGATCAAAACAGGGACAACACAAGCTGGCCCACGTGAACATTTGGAAGGGTAAAGCCTCAGTAGTGTTTAGCTCCATCGCTTCCAGTTTTCATCCGCTCCCATTTCACTGCAGACCTAATTCTTTGCAAAGCACTGCTAAAGCTTTTCACAACGCCAAGATACATGTAGTTTGATGCAGATAATATTTACAAATATTACAACCATTTTCCCCATTCTTCCCTAGTGTTTTCCCAGCAGCTTACAATCCCATCTGGCTACGGCTTTTCTTAACTGCCCTCTCAATGACTTTCCTAGCCCCAGGAGCTTGCTCTCCCGCCACAGGAAGATGGCAGCCTCTTAACTTGCCTGCGTGGTGACCGACCTACTTGCTGCGCAAATGGAAAAGCGAACGGTCAGGGCAAAGTGCAAGTCAGTCCCTCGCCACACGTTTGCACATGACTCTGACTTGGTGCCCAGGTATGTCTCCAGGGCGTCCCAGGTCATTCCCCATCCTGGAGAAACACTCTGCAAAACGCAACAGCTTTTCCCAAACGGTAACGCCACAGTCCCGCTTCGCCCCATGTATTCCTCCTGTCTGTGTCCTCACGTGGCAGCAATTTAACAGTTTATGCACCATCTTCTTCCATGTCTGCTATCAAATTTCCAGCTACACCAAATTCTTATTTTTCCAGGGTTTAATTAGGCTAAAGGTCCAAATTCTGCGAGATAACAGAAGAACTGAACAAATCTGAAAGGCTTTAATGCAGATTCCTATGGAACCCATGAATAGCAGCAGAGTTAATGCAGAGCTTGGGCTTAGAGGAATTTGAATCCGAATTATTTTTGTTCCTCGTTTGGCTTGCTTTATAAAACATACAGCCAATAATTCCACAGACTCTGTCAAACTCCTTGCTATAAATAACAATTTACCATTGAAAAGAAATGTAAAGGGTCAGAACTGTGCTCCGAGATTCACGTGTCACCCGCAAAAGGAGCTTCCGAGCGAGTTGGACACAGGCTGGAAAGTAAATTTCCCAAAATGGGAAACAATGGGAAGAACTGAACAGATAAGGTGTTTAATTCCTTCTGGTCCCATATCTTTACTTAGTCTGGTGTTAATCCCACCTGCAAGCACTGCCCCAGGATGAGTCACTAGACAACCACACACCCAGACCCAGCCTCCAGCCTAAACCTAAAAGGCAGGGCAAAGAGCAGAAGCAAGTGCGCAGTCCCACTGCTAACCTCCACCCTTAGCTGTCACTAGATCTAGCCTTTGGTAACTCATTCTAGAATCAAAACTAGCAAAACAGTTACGGGGACCAGTTGGGGTCCTGGTAGTGGAAGCTGCAAGGCTGGCTCTATTTAGCAAGATGGTGTATCCCTGACCAACACTGGACATGATAAAGCACTCTCCTTTTCCTCATCCAACTTTGACTAAAGTACAAGGATCCAAGAACTGAACCATCAGCCTCGGCTTTCCTGAGCTGGAGTCTCCATCTCAGCACTAACCACTGCCTTAATACTACAGAAGCGTTTAGTTCAGTTTAGGAAAACTAAAACTTAACCCTCTTCCAAAGAGGAGCAGGTTCCTGCAAGTGCCAGCTCTCATCCTACCTATGCAGGACTATGTTCCCACAATAAATGTGTGTCTGAATCCCCTGTGTGGACAGCTGTAAAGCTAGCTCCAATTCTACTCATAAACAAAGCCACAATCAGGAGACCTAGTCACAATCATCATGGGTATTTCTGGCAAATGCTGAACAGAAACGTGTGTGTCTGCTAAAGCTGGCCTTTATCTTGTAGCTGCAAACATTAAGAGATCCACTAGTTACATAGGCTCAGCTACCTCTATTTTTCTGAAACAACCGTATTTCCCAACTTTGTCACTAATCTTAAAATCAACAGCAGCCTACCAGACAAGAGGAGCAGCCTGTGCATGAGACAGCTAATGTCTGCCCTTAAACTGCCTGGCCAAAAGTGGCATAAGGCAGCAGACTTAGGACCAGCTTTCATCTGAACCAGCCAGAAAAAACACTACCCTAAGCCCTGACCCAGTGAATAGAGATAGCCAATTGTCCGTGACCTGCTTTGAAAGAGTAAGGCGGCATTTAGCAATTCCAACACCAGCTCTCGTTTTGGGAGGATTAGCTTTATTGTGCATCTCTGTTATCTAGGTCAAAGAAGCTCTCCAATTCCAAACTTAATTTCATCCCCACGCAGCAACCACCAAAGTGCTGCTCTTTCAATTCCTCCTGGCTGAAGATGTGGGAAATGGTACTTGGCTCTGCTGTCCCATCTCCTTGTGATTAACATGAATTATTAATAATGAGGCTTCTCTGTTGCTCAAATCAGACCTAAGCAAAGCTTGAACTCTACACTTAACCTTAGCAGAAGCAATACCAAGCATCAATGATTATCGCTTCATAAAGTGAAAAAGGTATTACATTAAAACAATACCAGTGTTCACTCTAGAAGAATTAATATTACCAAATACACAAGTACACTTACTTTTCGGCCCAAGGAGAGCTCTTATCCTAAACCCCAA